GCATGCTTAACTGGAACCTGCTCATTTTCACCTGCTTCCTGAGAAATTGCACACAGGCCTGAGCAGATACGGATTTAGTCCTAAAATATTTGTCAGCCATATACAGATTATTTGCTTTTTCCCTATAAATATATTTATAAAACAAGGGCCATTACTGTGCCTTAGATTGTCTATGGAAAAAGACGTGCTTCATTTAAAGCATAACAAAAGAATAAGGACGACTTGTTCTGCACCACTAGTTTTCTACTCACAGGCTGACAGGCTGTTATTTCTTTTACTCTCAAAAGAAGAGGAGATTTTTTCCCCTCCAAATATGCTGCTGGGTACTTTGGTACAGACGTAGGCAACATGGACTAAAGAATTATGATGGAATTGGAACCAGAGACACACAAAAAAGTACTCCCAGCTCTCAAAGCACAGACAGTGGGGTGTTTTTTAACACCCCACAGTCTTGAGTGGCACTCAAGAGGACCCTGTGGCAATGGAGGCAAAGACGCTGAATTTTTTCCCATTGTGAAATGAGTACTCTTCACTCAGTTATACTGGTAGAAGTGCACCCTTGTTGCTCCTACCCTACACCCGTCGTCATTCTCAAACAATGCCAGATGATAGACTCTTCCTTTTTCCTCCCCTCCTTTTATTTCTTTCAAGTGTCAGTAACTTTCGTTTTATCTCATCAGCTTCAATCTTCCAGCCCATTGTTTTTGCACTGTCATGTAGAGCCCTCCACTTAGTAAGCAAAAGAGACAGGCCCAAACCTCCAGAGAGACGTACCTGGCACCAGAAATTACATTTCTATTGAGTTTTATCTGCGACAAGCAATATCAGTCTAGTTTGTTAGAGTAGGTGGAAGACAGCTTAAAAATATTTCTGTTTTCACTCAACGTTTCCACTGAAAGCAAAAAAGCAGTCGGGCATCCAGATTAATGACCTTGTGCTTCTTAAATGAAAGTGTTCTTTTCACCTGCAAGCACTAGGTTTAGCAGTCTATACACACACACACACACACACACACACACACACACACACACACACACAGAGGAATAATTGATTGGCTTATTATTTAACAGAGTTAATAATCAGATGGCAGCAATCCAGTGCATTTTGGCCCATAGGACAACCTGTCAAAAGGAACATAAAAATGGGAAAGAATGTGACATAGTTGCTGGTCTGAAAGCGAGAACATATTCAGTGAGTGTCAGTTCTCTGCGTGAAAATAGCTTGTTGACGTCACAGGAGCATTGTCAATACAGTAACTCATATGACTGCTCGTTGTAGAAAAGGTATGCCGAACAGAATCTGACATGCACCTTAAATGCACCTTATGAAACTTAAAACTTAAACAGAAGACCACACAGAGTACCACTCCTATTAGCTAAGAACAGTAAACTGATGCTACAATTCACACTTCTTACCAAAACTGAATAATATAAGATTGGAAAATGTGCCTGCTTATGAGACTTTCTGCAGCAACATTCAAATGGTAGGGTCAGAATTGGGTATAAATGGCATGAAAGCATGGATCCAGCCCTCCTTTTATAAATTGGTCAGATTGCTGGTGGTGGTGAGGATATTTTCTTTGCTCACTTTAGGTCCCTCAGTACCAAATTCACATTTTTTTTAAACTACCTGAGTGCTATTGTCCACCATGCTTATTCATATATGACCACAGTGTATCATTTAGGAATGTATATTTCCCACCAACTGATGGCTGCCTCCAGCAGGATAACATACTGTCATAAAACTCAAATAATCTCAAACTGGGTTCTCATGATGGGTTCTCTGTACTCAAATGGCCTCTACAATCACCAGATTTGCATCCAGCAGAGCATCTTTGGAATGCGGTGGAACAGGAGATTCACATCATTGTTTGATGCTATCATGTCTGTATGGCTCGGAATTTCGGAGGAAAAATTCTAGCACCGTGTTAAATCTTTTATGGGGGCTTTGAAGGCAAAAGGGAGGCCAGTGCAGTGCTAGAAAATGTACCTAATAAGCTCAATGAGGGTATGTGACTGTTGTAAACAGTACATTCAGGGTTTTTTTTTTCTGCTGTAGATTAATATAACACAAAATTGTCTGTCCATGTTTTGGTTGTGAATTAACGTGTAATCTTGTTCTCATTAGTGTGCTCTTTTGTCTTTACCACAGACAGTTTTCTTGAGAATTAGTTTGTGGTGCGATAGAGACGCGGAGGGTCCAGAGAGTGGCGTAATAAAGAAGCCATTTTAAATACACACTCATCACACCACAACTCTTCTCTACCCCTGCTTCCCCGTGTTTTTAAACACGGTGGGCGTGATTGCGGATGCCGTGCCGGTGCTTCCGCCTGGCACCGCCGACCACGCCTCACCACATAGTTCTTTTTGATTTTGTTTTTTTTAAACTAAGAAATATATTAACAATAATCGCAACTTGATACTTTATTAACGTACTCAGAAGTGTAATGTGATCTTTGAACTTGTATTATATTAGTGTCGCTTCCATACGGAAAGAGCTACTGATTACTTATTTCCATAGCACGTTTTGTCATCTAAACCTCTGAGACCTCCCAGTGCTCATTTCTTGTCAGCTTTAGTGGAGTCTGTTTTGTTCTGCAGCTCTGCTTGGGGTGCATGCACATGCATGCCAATTGATTTTAGCCAGTGGGTGCAATTCCATTTTCTCTCAGGCTTGTTCAGAAGTTATCTGCATTAATGAAGTCTGTGGGAGAAAGTGCTGTTTTTCCACAAGAGGCAATTGGCTGTGTGCTCAAAAGGTTACCAGGAGTGTTCATAACTCAGAGAGTGTCATCTTATTTGAACTGCAACTACTCCTAGAACAATTGCAATTTGCACTCTCAGTTTATAGCTGCACCTCATCTGGAAAACACATCAGCTTTTCATTAAATACAAAAGAAAGTAGTGCACGCATGCGGAATTTCGAGATAATGCTACCCAATCAAAATAAGAACTGAACTCCAGAGTTTTCAGTCATTTCCACTTTCTTGTTATTTCATGCTTCTCGAGATAACGATCTGTGTAAACACTGAACACAAAGCCCACAAACCATCATTAGCTCTGGAAATGTTTTGTTTGTGATTGTGTAACATGATCACAAATTCTGATTGCACTTTCCTCCACTTGGTATGACTGCACAACCGATGACCTCCAGCTTGGCCATCAAGTACATTAAACGGCTATACCAGCTGCTGAGTTTGCCCCTGCACTCAGGCGTAATGCATTTTGAAAGGCAATAGATCAACTGTGTAGAGCAATTTGCAAAATTACAGAAAATTGCAGCGCATTTCCGGTTGTCATGTAGATGCATGACCAAAAAGGTACTAAATCTCTTTCTATATCACACCACTGTGTGATGCAACAAAAGCTAAACCCTAAGCTTAAAAACCACTGGGAGGTGTGAAATACTTGCAATCCTACCATTATCATAAAATGTCAATATCTGTATTTATATTACATACAAGACTGTTTTTCTAAAATGACATTTCCATAAATAATCTTTTAAATAGTTTTTATGGAAAATTTATGATGGCAGAATTCACTGTATGCCTACTGCTCTGTCTCATTAGTGCCCTCTGACTCTGCTTCATGTGACCGCAAGTTGGATGCTTGTTACCAAAAAACAGGCAGGTAAACCAACAAAATGATTTATTTTAAGGTGATAGAGGTGAAGCACACTATCATGCGAGGAAACAGTTACAAGAAACTGAAATGCACCAAACATATGCCCACTGCCTTGTCTTGTTCTCTTTTGCCAAAATAGCAAAGAATTTTCCATATATCAGTGTCATACTAAGGAATGAAAAAGGGAAGTTGACAAATTTAATATCCACATGCACAACTTTTAAAAAATATTCTCAGCACTTAAACTTTTTGGCATCACATTATTGGCACCTTGAGGTAGTCGTTAAAAAAGTGTAAAAGCCACAGCAGAAGTGACAGATAAACTTGTTCTGTATTTGAGTTTAAGAAAAAATAGGTTAGTAGCATAGGTAGGTAAAATAATACATCACCAACATGGCCTTAAATAGTATTTAGACACAATTAATGTGGTTGCTAAGTGATGTAAGCTCTGTAAGACTACATTACAGACAAAAAGCTGGATCTGTTAGAAATGACAGACAATAAAAGCCTGAATTCAACAGGAAAATGTACACATTCATGTAATGTTATTTAATCATTTGTTTATTAGAGAAGAAAAAAATTAAAAGAAAGAATACCAATAAAAAGAAAATTACTCATTCTTACTCATATTCTGCTGAAATGCAGTGACAAAAAGCTGAACTTATTGAACATGTGTGTGACATCAAAGCATTACAAAGGAAAGAAGAAACAATGCTTCAGGTGGTGGAAAATCAGAGTATCTGGAAATTCCCCTTTTGAGTATTTTATTTCCATACATTTATCGTTTCCGTTTCAATAATCGTCTACTTTCCTTTCCTTTTTCTTAACGTCATGTAAGGAATGTGTTCTTGCCGTCAACATTCACATCTGTACACTGATGGTCACTCAACGCATAACCAGAGCAACCTCAAGGTTTCGTCACAGACTCCATTTATAAACATGTGAATACCCAGTGTTCACATCATCTGAAACAGAGCAACGTTCTTTATCTTCTTCGTGTTTTACAGTGACGTGATTGACACATTTTGGTTTTCTCGTACTGAACCAGACTGAAAGTGATCAGCCAAACTGAAAAAGACATTTAGACCAAAAAAAGGAGTGAATGACCCACTCATTAAGAACTACAACTACAATGATGCTATTTAAACACTCACTGTGATGTAAAAGGGGAAGACAGGAGCTATGCAGCTCCCGACCCATAAGTTACAAATTTCCCTTAAATCGGAGAGGAGGAGGAGGGGACTTTTTTCTGGTCTCATAAGAGCATTAACGCATGATTCATATCTTTTCTATAACCGTTTAATTTTTGCCCAGCCCTGAACACTTCCTGCACGCACGTGTGCAGAAGCAAACCTCCCTCCTCCTACGCGTGTCTTCCCCTTTCTGTACTTCGCCCTTCCACACTTCTTACTGACATTTCAGCTGTGGCTGTCAACGGGAACTAGCAACGAGAGCAAACTACACAGTACAGAGAAAAACAACCTCTTGCATCTGTAGCTATTGAACTGGCTGTTAATGATCTGGTTCATTTGAGATTATGAGGAACTGCAGTGGCTTGGCTGCATGTCAGCAGCTCTGAAAAGTCTCTTCTGAAGCTTTTTTTCTGATCTTCCTGGACTGAACTCTGCTGAACCTGAAGCAGGTCTGGAATGCGTCTAACACTCTTCACCCACTGGACAGCTTTCTACAAGATACAACTTTCTATCAACAAACAACAGGTGAGGTCATTCATTACTGACTGGAGTTCTGGAAACTAGATGAGGGAATTTATGTAAAACTTTTTATAAACTGCCCTAGAAAAGGACAAGTTCAAAGGTAACTTTTATTATGTTTGCCAAGTTCTTAAATGTAGTAATTTATTTTGAAACCGCACTTCATATGCTGGGCTTCTTTTTGTACCCAGTGGACTGTTGTCAAGGGAAAGATGGAATGCTTGAGGTGATGTGAGTAACCACTGCAAAAATAATTAGGTTTGAAATGTTGATTCTCTGGAGGGTTGAATGTTTTCTGTGATTCTCCCAGCGGTGGTCACCACAGCACGCTGGAGAGGGCAACAGAAAACTGCTCTGGAAGAAGAAACTGTGGACTGCTTTACCTTTGAAACACCACTTTGGTATGAGGGAGGCAAGTTAAAACGCATATTTCTTCTTTTTGTTTTAAAAGGGGGGCATCTGGCAATCACCACATCCCCCCTCTTTAGAGATAAGGCTAAAATGCTGCTCTCTTAACAATTCATAATGACAACCAGATTTACTTCAGCACATAATGCTAACAAACACATAGTTGGCTCAGATGGAAAAAATGAGTGAATCAAGCCCTGGCCAGCTGTGCAAAGTAGTCGTTTGTTTGGATTTGAAATGTACTGATAGAGACAGCAAAAGAACAAAAAAGATGTATGCAAGAGGAAAAAAGAAAAAAAATATTGTTTTTAAGAAGGACCTGAACAGGACAAATGAACCATTACAGGCATTAGAGGTAAACTCTATCTTTGTAATAGGGGAATACCTGTTTGTCATTAGTCATAGTATCCTAAGTGGTGACTAACAACTGAAATATTTTAGAAAAGTTTTGATTTATGAGGAAAACTTTCCTATAATGCAGTCATGATAAGTCTCCCATTTTTTTTTTTTTTAATTTTATGAATAATCCATTAAATCAAACCCATTTCAAACACACCTGCACACAGGCACGTGCAGACACACATTATCGTTCTCTGAAGACGATCTGTCTCCAAATGGCTTCTCTATTATTGAGTTTTCTGGACGTTAATAGCATTAGATGCTTCCTGAGCCTATAAACACACCAGGGTCAAGCCTGGAAGAGAGAGAGGGAACAAAACAAAGAGAGGAAACAAATATCAGCAAAAGCCACAGAAATAACGAGCAAAGTTTGATCTCCTAATGCTTAAATTTTATACAGCAAATGGAAAGAATAAAATATCTGTACAAAAATATTTTAGTCTTGTGGTCTACATTAAGAAGAGTGTGTTAACCATTGGTTCCCATTACCTGGTAAAATAATTAATGTGGATTTTTTTTCCAGTGGAACACAAACTAAACATTAACCCCTTAATCGTCACAATGAATGGGTGTATAAGATTGTACTGATGGTGTAAATATGAATAAATACTTCGGTTATTAACTGAAACCAGAGGACATTTTCAAAAAATTCTGTTGTGATAAACTAAAATTTTAAAAAATGTTCAAGGCTGATGACACAGTTTCACAGACCAATAGAAAGCCTATAAACAGTCTGAAAGGAAAACCATAACACAACCAGTTGAACTTTGTAACAGTTCCTCTGAAACAACATTCCTAATTATGTAGTATTCATGTGTGAGTTCTTTTGTACAATCAGGTTCTGGCCTTAGTTAGCCTGTCATAGTTTCGTTGAATTATTTTTGAACCAAGCTGAACTCATGCTCGGTCTGCCCAGAAATATCCTTCTCAGTCAGCATCTTAACATGTCTGTTTAACCGCACTGTTAGCATCTGTAGTCAAAACATGGCCATGCTGTAGGAAATCCAAATTTACCCCGAATAAACCACTAAACTGTTTTAACTGTGCAGCATCTTTTGTATTTTTAATGCATTAGTCGTCAATTATGACTATATATTCCAAACCATTTTTAGGTTTCATATTATTTATGAATGTGTCAGAATTTAAAACATTAACAAGAACGCGCGAATAGCCTCCTTCTGTAACAGTTAAGCATGTCACTCTTTAACTTTTACATTAAACAGAGTAGATTAAAACAGGGGGACAAAAAGCCTAAAGCTGTGCATTACTAGAAAACAATTAGGTCTGTTATGTTAAGAGATGGTCATGTCCCATATGAAATGTGTAGGATTTCATTGAAAACAACTGGACTTTAAAAAGTGAAAGTTTAGTGAACTCTATTTATTTGTACTTTGATGAGATGTATAATTGAGTAAAACATATAAAAATATTTATCATTTATACACATTAATGTGTTGCAAGCCCTATGATGTAAGTCATTTTCTGTTAAGCCTGCAACGTGCTGCACAAAATTCATGCGACACGCCTGTAATGTAACTGATCGTTATGCCTGCACGATAATATGTATGGGATATATAAACGTCATAAAGAATTAACTTTATTAAATGTTAATAATAATGTTTTGCTAAGTTATGCACTTTTATGGACACTACCTAATTTTTCAAACAAAGTTGACAACTTCATACATCACATATTGACATGAAGAAAGACAATTAGTGTCATGTGATCATCTACATGTGTGCTCCAAATAATTTTTTTTTTTTTAAATCTAGAAAATCTGTATTTCAAAAAAGTCCTCCTGCCGTTCAAAAGGCATTGTTTGCACCCCTTACTTGTCTTAGTCTGCAAAATAGGTATATTTTGTTATCTTTTCTGGACATAAAAAACTGAAAGAGCAGGAAATGCAAATGTGATCCATCATCATTTCAATTATATTTTCAGTCATAGAGCCTTTTATTTTTTTCCCCCAGGAGGTAGCTTACATGGCCTTCAGTAAGAACTGGAATCTGTTCATGGCCTTTGCATTGAATTATACTTCTTCTCTACCAAGCTAGTTAGTGAGCCAGCATTACCATTATAATAACAACAACAACAACAACAACAACAATACATTTTATTTAGGAAAGTGCCTTTCAAAACACTCAAGGACACTGTACACAGCAGAATAGAGACAAGCAATAACAACAACAAACATAACAACTTACAAATTTACAAGGATAAAACATAAAGCAAATAAATAAAAGAGATTATGTGATAATGCATATTATGGGAAATAAAATGCAGCGCACATGTTACAAGTCACAGTAAGCTACAACAGATTGTTTGCAGTTATGCTAGCTTGGCCAAAAAACCTCACTCATCAGTGTATTACAAAGAATACCCAACAAAGAGCGCAGAGGTTCTCTCAGATGCCTTGCCCACTGACCTTGTCGTTATACCACAAATCTCTCACTATTTAAATGTCCAAGTTCAGTCGAATAGTTTCGTATCCTCTCTGAAACTGCACTGCTAGCTTTACTCTCATGGAAAAGAAGACTTCTTCAAAGAGGAAAGGTTCATGTCAAAATAACAAAATCAGTCTCACAGCAGATTATTTGACCTGCTCTTTGTCTTTTATCTTTTTGAAACAGAAAGTATTACTGGATTATTATTAAATTCATTTTGAAATTCTTGTCTCTGCTGGGTTACGCTAATCTTTAAGATGTATCTGGTGTGAATTACACTCAGAGCTCTGTGATGGACCAGGTGTGATGGTTCAAATCAGGGAGAGAATTAATTGATTCATTTATAGAGTGCATGAGTTTCACATTACTCATTCTTGAAGCTGCAGTAAACAACTACCTTCGTCACATCTGCATCTGTTTGTAACGTCACATTTTCCACGTGTGGGACTAATAAAGGTTATCTTATCTTATCTTTAAATTGGAAATAACTGGTCCAACTCACTATATGACTGCCAACTTTTTTGTCCCCCAGAATGCAATTCTGTGGGAGCCTGCAAGGCTCTTATTGTGCTGAGAAACAAAAAGTAACCTGTAATCTGTGATTACTGTAAAATGCAAATAATCAGTTTGCCTGTACATTCTGTGCGATCCTCGCCTGCAACTTAGACCACGCAGGAGAATAAATGCAGCAATTTATAGATAATTTAATAAAAAGTAGCATTAACAACAAGTAATGTTGATCGAGTGCTCAGGTGATCGAGTGCAGAAGGTTCTACATCAAGTTAATCTAAAAGGTATCAGTTCCTTAATGCTGTCTGTTTCCACAACAACGACAGCTTACCTTATGACATGTGTTCTCCATACAGTGCAGCTGAGGCAGGGACTTTTGGCAATTTCACTTTCTATTAAAACCGTGGGTGCAAACTGTTATCATCAAGCAGCATGACTAAACCCATACTAGGAAGCGGAGGACTCCCATCGACACTATGCCTGAACACCATATAGTGTGCAGAATCAAACTATCTCACATTGAGAAACATCAGGACAACCAAATTATTTTTTTTATCTCTTGAGCTCAGTCAACCATGAAATAGAATAGGGGATACAAAATATCTAAGCTATATTATATGTTTTTAAAGTATTACGGTGAAGTCGTGTTACCATACAAATTGTTACTGTATTTATTTTAATTTCATGGATTTAATGATGTATTTTTGTCTTGCAGGTGATTTTTTTAACCAGGGGAGTTACAGCTAACTAAAGGAACCATGAACTCCACTTTTAAACCAGAAACAGGCAACAACTCAACATGCGTTAACATTGGAGAGAGTGTTGTCAGTAACTTGCTGATGTCTGTTTACATACTGGCCTTTGTTTTTGGTTTGATCTTCAATGTACTGACCCTGGGCCCCATCATTCAACAAGTGAGGCAAAAAAATGTCCTGGGAATCTTCCTGCTCAACCTGTCTATCTCTGACTTCCTTTTCATCATCACTATGCCCCTTTGGATAAATTATTACCGGTTTAACCACCGCTGGATGCTAGGTTCTGGGTCCTGCAGTGTAGCTGGCTTTGTCTACTACTCTAATATGTATATCAGCATCTACCTGCTTTGCTGTATCTCTGTAGACCGCTGTCTGGTGGTCAGCTACCCACTCCGCTTCAAGACACACCGAACTTCTTGCTACGCCTGGATGCAGTGTATCGTAGTTTATGTGGTAGTGGTGGTGATACACATCATAATGCTGGTCTATGATAATCTCACAGACGCCCATGATGAGAACAACAATAATGACCGTTGTTATGAGACCTACCCCATGGAGAAGCCTATTGCTCTATTCAACTTGCTCAGAGTAGGCTTGGGCTTCCTGCTACCCCTGCTAGTGCTGGCAGTGAGCTACTGGAGGGTGTTAGCCACTGTGGGCCGAAGTCCCGGCCTGAGCGCCCAGGTTAAGAGGAAGGTCCGTCTTCTCTCCTTTGGAGTCATTGGGATCTTCTCAGTTTGCTTTGCTCCATATCATATTCTTTTGCTCATACGCTCACTAGTATTTTATAATAACAATTTTGATAAGAGTCACAATGGGAGTTACTGCAAGTTTGAAGAACAAATGCACTTCTTCTTCTCCTGTACGCTTGCACTGTCCAGTTTGAATGCTGTGGTGGACCCAGTGCTGTATGTGTTGGTGAGTAATGGAGTCTGGGAGCAGATGAAACTAACCTGGAGATGCCGCAGACGGACTGAACAAGAAGACTGTGCACTAACTGCTTACAAAGGAGGAAAAGCTGCCACTACTGCCACTACTAATTTAATATGAATAATAAGCTATATGTGATAGACATGTGTACAATTGTATGTGTGTGAGTGTGTATTGAGATATTATAGGATTTGGCATGGCAGCTTTTTCAAGTAAAGTCTTCCTCTCATGAGTTAAGTAACGGGATTATTTCCATCCCACTTGTGTATGTTATTTTGTGTATGTATAAAAGGCAATCTTTGTTGTTACATTTGTATGTTATATCGAGCACAGTGTAAGGAGGAAGCTGAATAATGTATGCATCTGAGTCCTGGTTAATGTGATATTAGTCTCGGGTTCTGCTCTCCCACGAGTTCTTCAGTGTAAGCCACTTCTGGTTTTGTTGTTAGACACTGTTGCTGCAACTGAAGAGCCATTGTATTTTTTTTTGTCCAATCTATGCAATCATAGCGTGACTGAGCAACCCTGATATATTTAAATATGCATTACCTCCAATGCATGCCATACAAAGCCTTTGTTAGCATAACTTTGTGTGCCCAGTGTCTGACATATTTAACAAGAAATAAATCAGTATTATGTCCAGGTGCTCAGAGTTTTTTTTCACGCAGACAGTATGCAACAATTAACCCATACACCCAGTCTCTTAGTCTTCGCCATTAAACATATAGATAATTATAAATGCAACATAGCTGTGTGCTTCACAAGTGTCAAGTTGAAAAGGAAGGCAATAATGATGGATGTATATAAGTGTGTGTCAGGGGTGTGAGACAGAAATGGAGAAAAAGAATAATAAAGTGAAAGAAAGACAGCAAAAAGACTGAAAGAGGAAGCGTTTGAATCAACATTATGTCTGTTACTTGGTTCATAATTTATACAGCAGCTTCCTCATGCGTCAGCAGAGCTTTTTTTAGTAAACATCATTACAATCTAAGATGAACATTGACTGCATAGTATAAACCCTGAATAAAACCAGTTTTGTTTAATTAAAGGTCTATACTGCTGATTTCCTGAATTGTACAATCATGTATATCCTTCCATAAGAAGCAGTTTTGGAGGTTTGCTACTCTGGAGAATTCTGGTATCTGTTCATATGATGCCATGATCTTCCCATCAAATTCACCCTACCATGGAGCTATGCTCATAGAAACTACAAAAACCCCAAGAGCAACATTTCAGACAGGTCTCAGTTAACCTATGACAAATTGGCCAAAAAGGGGAAGGACACAAGTGTTACAATAGCCCAATGTCCAGACCTCAAGTCAACTGAAATGCTGCGACAGGAACACAAATAGCTGTGCATAAAAGAATGGCCGCAAACCTCAATCAACTTAGTCAATTTTATAGAGAAGAGTTCACCAAAATTCTTCCACAATAATGTCAGAGAATAATAAATGAATACAGAATGACTCCTTTAGATATCGCTGCTTTGGGTCTAGCAAAGTGTTTTGTTTTTTTAAAATAAAAGGATAAAGATAAAGCCAGGCTTTTTTCCTCTGAAGTACAGAAATGTTCTGGTTTCTAAACCTTACTTTATTTTTAAACCCTCAGATACATCATGTTTAGATGCTTGAAAAGCTCTGTTGGCAAAAAAAGAAAGCATGTATCTATTTTTGAATGGAAGTCACAACTGGTGATGCTGAAGCTGCCCCATTAACTTCTTTTCAGATGGAAAAGAAAGAAAAACCCATGTTATTTTCACCACAATTTTAAAGCTTGCAGCATTTTGAAGAAGCGTTAGTAAACGAATCAGGTTTAAAGAAATTAATGTTGCAGTCAATCATCTTGTGGCATTAGCGCCAACATCTTAAAGATCCATTTTCTCCAGACTCAGCTTTTAATGAGCTAACTCAGGTTGTAGCCAGACTCATAGGAAAATCAATGTGACTCCATTGATTAGCTGTTATGACTCATAGCATTGTAATGCAGGCTTGGTCTTAATGGACTATACCAACAAGCTATACTTAGATCTTATTTTAAGCATTTGGAGTCTTTGGACATATATAACGGAGCACTCAATAGAATGAAGTTTTTAATTTCCTTTTACCCTAATGAGCTGATTAATAATTAATATTTCTACTGAAACGCAGCAGACGTCCTGCTAATTATGTTTTGTATTTCATAAGAAAGAAGCTCTCATAATGAAACTCTTTTTTTTTTTTTTACAGTGTACTGTCTTTGTGTTTTTGTTTTATTTTTTAAAAACTATTTCTGCTTATTAAAGAGTGGACCTTAAAGAAAAAAGATAATTGAAATATTTTAGAAAAGGAAGACAGCAAAGTTATTAATTGTACAATAAAGAGTTTGCGATTTACTTGTGCTGCATCACATCCACTGAAGCATATTAAATTGAATGACACTTAGGAGGGTTTGTCTCATCAGAGACTTGTTCATGTATATTTGTGTGAAGCCATTGTCCATATCTTAACTGTAACAACAAGGGTCCGAAAAATTGAAGCACAGCCAGAGATCATACAGGAAATCAGATAAAAGCCAAGCATCCAAACTTTTACATGCAAGCAAAAACATCTTACATGAGTATTAGTCAGAGGAGCAATTTACACAAGAGAAGAGGCAAAAATGCCCACAAAGGCTAGTTATACATAACAGTGTACAACACCGGCATCATTTTATACGCAAGGAACAAGGAAAAGTTTGGAAGTTGAGTGGAAGAATCTGAAAACACAGCCCTGCCAGAAGCTGTCTGGGCATACCACTGAAGATGATCTTTAAGGGCTCATTCGAAGAACTTTTTGGTCACACATTGTATACACAGCAGACTGACACTGGTTAATAAGACACAATTAACAGAACAAAAGCAGTTAAAAGATCCTACATACATATGTTCCCAGTCACACAGGCCTAGAAACGGTGTGTTACCACAGTTGCAATGGAAAAATGTGAATTTCCTGACCTGTTGGCAAATGGTTGCTAATGGTTGTCACTAGATAAAATTAATCGCAAAGAGGTACAGGATACTGCAACAAAAAAGTCCTTGAAATTGTTTGGTTTCTAGTGGGTTGCCATAAAATCCCTGTAATTGCATGGAAGATACGTCAACTTCTCACTGAGCAGTAGTGAAACAATAGCATTTTTCTTTTTTTAAATGTTGAGGCGAGCAACCTCGTTTTACAGTTTAAACCACACGTTTCAGTTTCACTAATGTTCAGAGAGAAGCTGGCAAGAGCTTGCAGATAAGTTGGCCTCTTCCATGCAAACTATGTGCTGCTAACAACAAAAGCAATCACAAGAAGGATTTACTGCACTTCCTTCTTGGCAACCAGTTTAACAAGGTGACCAGCTGGTTGGGGACTACACAGTTAGAATCAGAATTACCCTACAACTTCTCTTTACCCTGTGTGACTGCGGCCTACGGTAAATGATTTACAAAAACAAAACATAACAGATGACTACATAGATGAGGAAGATGAAAGTCGTGCTGCGAAAAGTGAGAGGTGGAAAGAATTCTTCTTTGACACCAGGAGGCAGTTGTAGGGTTAGTCACATGTGAGTGTGCACAAGAGAGTTTCTCTGGCTTAATACAGTCACATAAATAATGTCCACTTGGCTGCCTGGGAGCTGGGTCTCTTGACACAGTAGATATATTCCAGACTCCTCAGACCAAAAAAGGTTGCCTTGCACCCTCCAGTGCTTTCAATCTTCCAAAGCCAGCACGATAGCTAACAGCTTCCATTTCCTAAAGTCACAGTTACTCTCTGTGGGTGCCAGTTTTCTGCAAATAAAGGCTAACAGATTAATCTTGTTGTCAGCATTAAAACACTGGGGTAGCACTACCCCAACCCACACATTCAAGCATCGACCATGTTGCGTAATTGCTTAGGAAGATTTGAGGATGACAGAAGGGCAAAATCCATGTTTAATAATCTTAAACACATGCTCTGTGGCTTTTGTCCAGTCTAAACAGTACAGCAGAGCAACGCAACAGAGCAGCGGTGATGTATAAGTTAACTGTAGCTGTATACTTTAGCAAAGCCCAGTAACGGTTTTTAGTGCACTAACACTATGTGCACTATGTTGTAGCCAATTAGGATGTGCATTGAGCTTAGAATTACCTATGCCTCATGAAACAGAAAGACCGAAAAGAGGAACTGTGAATTATTTAACTACAATTTATCTGTTTGTCTAATCTACTGATTAACTAATGTGACACAGATGTTACGAGACAGTGATGAGAAAAATAGCCCAAATCAGCAAGTCAACAACTGTGGATACATGGCGTAAGAGATGTATAAGTAAAAGAGGAAACAACAGCAAAGTCTAAGTGGCAGTGCGGTAATGGAGAAACATTAGAACTCAGTGAAAGTCTCAAGTGTCCAACTGTCATTCTGAAGGAAAAGGGACTTTCTCTAAATCACATCATGGCTAGACTGAAAGTTTCCCAAGTGTCACTACACGGCATGCTAAAATGTTTTGCAGAAACTGGATTAATTATGTCCAACCACAGTGACGCACAACAAAAATGACCATACCAAGATCAATACACAAAGCTTTGTTCACTGAGACACAGAAAAACAACTTGGTCACATACAGAGAACTTACGAAAGAAAACAATACGTGATGTCAATTAGCAAAAGTATTCACAAAAGAACACTCTATTAGCAGTGTCAGTGGATGAAAAGACAAAAAGTAGAAATTTGTGTAAAGGTAGAGTACATGGCAGAGGTCTAGGACTGGTGCCCATGAGCTTGTTGTATGTGTACCTAAGAAAACATCAAGCGTGTACGATCATGTGAAAAAGGGACAGGAAAAAGCACATGCAAATTTAAGAAATTTATTAAACTTCACTTCAAGTTGCTGCAAATGAGGTTCTGCAAGATATTGAATCATGGGATATACTTAGTTTTTCACAGGAGTCTTTTGCAGTAAGTATAAAAATAGTCATACAAAAAATGCAAATTTTTTAATGACTAACTATACTTACTAAAAAATACACACTTTTACCATATTTTCCGCACTGTAAGGCGCTCTTAAAATCCTTTAATTTTCTCAAAAATTGATACTGTGTCTTATAAACTGGAACACCTTATGTATGAATTCTGGTTGTGCTTATTGACGACCTCGAACCAATTTTATGTGGTACACGGGCTCAAAAATCTGTCAAAAAATGTTTTAGTACAACTTTGGTAAGCTATGAAGCCGCACCGCTTAATGGATTCTTGGAGCATTACGGCTGCAGTAGTCAGGAGCCTCGCGGAGTAACCTGGGTCCAAAACTCCGTCCTTTTCAGGTCCCAAAGTCAAACGAACAGTGCGGCATCACTGAGAGTTACAAACTGTCTAAATTCTTTCATCTTTAATAAAATGATTAGTGTAGCTGCTTTACCAGGTGTAACAATTACGTTTAACATCCAGGCCTTCATGAAAACAGATTTTTTTAAATTTAACGGAGTTAGAAGTTAGCAGGAAGTTAGCTCGCTAGTTTCCACCTAAACATGATATGCCTTGTTCTGACTGAGAGATTTCTGAAAAAATTAAAACGTACAGCTCTACTATCACTTCCAACATAAATGAATACAGAAAACTAAACAGCAGTGACTTTTTTAGGGTTACTGAAGTTGGGTTA